GACTGAAGATTTAGTATGCATTCATTCGGTTCAGAGGTAGTGAGACACCGGCAACATTTCAACGCAATGAAGCAAGAAGATGATTTTGAAGCCGTTCTTAACAAACCGTTCAAATATTACATTTTGGTATAATCACTTCGGGCAATTATTACAGTAACCGTGAGGGGTTTGACATAACCCGTGCTGCTGGCTGCAGTAATATCGGACGCGTTTATGCGTTGATGGCTGTCAAGTGACATGCATCTGCTGCCAGTCTGCTTTCGACCGTCCCGTACAATTTTTTCTGTTCACACCAATTCGCATAGACGGCAGAGAATAAGAATTAAAAACCATCGAAAACGCCTAAAAACACATTATATTTGCACAGGCCCGCAATGTCGAGACGCCAAGACCTGCAGGGTACGCAGAAAAAGTTTGCTCTCTCGTCTTCTCACCGCATTCGGCCGATTGTACAACCGATAGGGGAACATCGATCATAGCAAAATTTGCTTTTTCGTCCAAATTATTCAGGACTGTCGAAGACTCACGCTGCGACACGAAACTCGTGAGGTTGCCTTGACATATTGCGTGAACAGTTTCCTCTCAGCTGACGGATCAGAGGTGACAAGATGCTGCTTATGGTTAGATGCGTAAATGCATGGATCAGTGGTAAGGGCGGGTTCATTGGCAGGTTCATCGTCTCAACTGATCAAAGCAGGGGACAGCCAGGTCAGCGCCAAGAGCATAACACTGTGGCACTCTCGCACACGCTTGCCGATTGCAACCGACAGTGTGCCATCGAACGTCAGTCACCGTTGTCGGGTGAGACCTATATGGCTTACAGCACAGGTCGTCGTTGACATGCTTTGAGACGAAGGTCATGTTTTAATTGATGAGGAATTCAAGCTGCTGCCACGAAAATGAGGGGTGGGGGGAGGCGGTAGGAGGGAAGGGCTGTCTTCACGCATCGACTTTGCTAGAAACTACCGAACAAGTTAACTGCCATCGAAGCAGACACTAGTGCTGACGGCTGAGGAACTCTTTTACTACACCCTTGGAAAAATTAAATCCTTTCGCTTTAGGACCTTGTTAAGAATCCATGCTTTACATGCTACAATTTAAAGAAGTAGCAAATTGAAATGATTCTCGCACAATACCATAAAAACCTCTACCCCTTTCAATTTTACAAACACAAACTATATTGTATTGTGGCAAAAATATCTGAATAGTCAAATTCTCGTAATAACTCTTTCGTAGTCTCACTTTACTCAATAATTAGTTGAGCATACGTGTTGGCTCTGTCATGACCCCGTCTGCGTGCGAGCATAGTTTGTTTCGTACCCTATTCAGTCATATCGTACTAGAAACACGCACGGCCAGGGGCCAAACGGCATGGAGCTGTTTCACAGTTCAGTGGACCCGTATATGTCTCGAAACAAATGACAATGAGTCGTTCACGTAATTCGTCACTTTCTACGGTATTAATTAACGATAGTCAGCATAAACGAAAATGTAATGGATTAAACCTCAGTTATACACACCAGCATGTAGATTTGTTGATGTCCGGTGCAGTAAAAAAAATTTTTTCACACATAAACTCTAGTTGGCTTCTGACCTGCCAGCGAGTGTTATGAGGGAAACTTCGTCGTGTGAGAAAATTATTTTTAAATTGCGAGAAGTTGTAGTATACGACAAGCCTATATCATTTAGTTTTAACCGCCTATTACCTAACTACACATGCGCGCTAAAGATTTTACCGCTTGTACACGCTTATTACGTTCAACCTGTTAACGCTTGGCTCCATCAAGGCCAGATTTCAGTTATCTTATGTGCTTCCGAGTACGAATATCGCCTAATGTTATTGTGGTGCCATATTTGGGCCATTTCCTGAAACATAATTCATAATAAGCTGGAAGACCCGTAGCGAATAAAATGATGTGAGATGGGTTTGATACCGTAGGTGCTAACGTACGAAGCTGTGGCTGGCTTCAAACGCCCGATGGGCTACAAGCAGCAAGAGACGACGCAGTGCACTGTGAAATCCTATCTTGACGTAACGTATCGCCATACAGCCATATAGTTACAGAAAATAAGAACATCATCCCTCGATCAAAGACCATGGACAGTGAGCCAGGGATCTAGGAAACTGCTCGTGTGCCTGAAACTGAGGACATTTCATCAGTGTGTGATGCCAATTTTAACGTACGACTGCGAATGACACCGAATCACTCACAAACTGAAGACTACTCAACGCAGCACGGTGTACGTTAGAAATAACAAAGGGCAATGGGAAGACGTAAGAATGGGCAAGATCGCAAACTGGTGTCCGCTATGTCACTTGGTGAGCGAGGAAGTTGAGGTATTAGTGAAGAGGACACGTCAGGAGAGAACCGTCCATCATCGGGCCGTAGATAGTTTCGACTGGTTTGCAAGACGGCAACCCGCCGTTATCAAGACCTCCAGATCGATGGGAGGATGATCTGAGGAAGCAGGAAGCTGATCCCATCTAAGGGGATGTAAAAGCCTGACAACAGATGTTCAAAGAAAGAAAGCTTTGCCCAGATGTGGGTCGAAAAAGAGTGACGACGATGACTTTTGTAGATTCGAAGGCAGTTCCGAGCCAGTTGCACAGTCGACAGAATTTTGATTGAACCCACGGCTATCGTTTGCAGAACCATTTCGCGAACAGAACGGCAGTGAACGAATGAAAATGCTTGTCAAAATCGAATACCGTAACAACTCCTTTGCCATTTGTGGTTTTGCAATGTTAGTTTAGGAGCCATAATTAAACATCGTTCAATTAGTTTATCGTTTGGCTGAAACGAATGCCAGTCAACCTAATGGGTTTTTCCGCATTGCCACGGTTATCTTTACTGCTGTACAGAATGCTTCATATTATTTTGTGAAAGTTTTTAAATTTATCGATAGGTGTCATTTCCGGTTGTATTTCGTTCTTTGATGATCCAAAATAAGCCATATTCGTATATGCGTAGTAATTAAAATGACAGTGTATTTCATTATTCATTTTTTGGAATTCCACAAAGTGTCGATGACCTCAACTTTCTGATCTCCACTGACGCTTTCCACCAAAAATTATTCCTGTGCCTCCTGCTCGATA